AACAACCTGAAGCAGCTAAGTGTGCTGCAGAGCTAATACTAGGTTGCATTTCATCTGCAGAAATTTGTCTTCAGTTGTCTTATTTGTTACATTTTTCTCTTTGTCTGTAGTAATGTTGCATCTAAAAACATTTACGTTACCTTCACTGCATCATGTTCTTTGCTGCTGTGCCTGTAGGCCATACTCCATTTATGTGGTCTATATTTTTCCTTTTAAAAACATAATGGTAGCTTTTTTATATATATATATGTTTTTTTTTTAATTGAAAGTAAGCTCTGTTGCGAACCAAATGGCCTCATATATGTAAAACCTTGGAACTGAAGACGGTATAGTTTCTTTTTATTGTGTCTGTATTTGGAGCAGCAAGGATGACTGGAAATAAACTCTCCAGTGACAAAATCCAGACATAAGAGCACCATAAATACACAATGACATGGCTCAATTTTAAAAGAGTAATTTAAGCTCATATTAAAAGTAATCCAATGCAAGCATAAAGGAGGCACTTCGAGCGCCACGGTGGTGTGATGGTCCACAGAAGCACAGCCCTGGGGATGTGTTTTCGACATGAGATACGTCTCTGTAACCATCCTCCAATGCCCACTACTTGAGTTTCGGGGAGTGTATGCACACACACACAGGCACTGGCAAATGCCTGTGTGCAGAAATAAATTTGTGACTATGCTGGATGTGGACATGGGGAGATTAAAGTAAGCCTTGGCTTGTGTTGACAGGATGTTTGGGGAAACCGTTTCAGTGCGGGACAGCTTTTACTGCTGCTGTGAGCGATGGGGACTTACGACCTTTAAGGTTAAATGTGGTGTTTACTTTCCCAAAGCCAATTTTGGCATGGCTTTAGTCATCTACTTTCTAATACTGCATTCATTTGATGTTCCACTAAAATAAACCGGGCCACTTCAGAGACCCGAATGGGGCTTTTATGATTTATAGACAGCAGGAGCAGCCATGTTCACTGGGTCGCAGTTAGGATTAATAATAAAATGTTCAATGAAAACATCTTTCAACGACGTCTGAGTTTCAACTTGTTGTTTTAAATAGTTCCTCATTCTCAAAGGATGAAGTGAGCATTTGTTCTACAAAGACTATCTATACAGGAAACATGTGTGAGCAGCAGAGAAGGACACAGGCAGGTAAGATCGATTGATTAATATTTCCTAATCAAGTTTAGTTTTTTTTTTTTCTACATTATTCTCAGACTTTAGGGAATAAAACCCTAAACACTTTGATTATTTGGGGTTTTTTGGCGAGGGAGAGGTGTCAGCATTTGATTAATAAAGTTTACTTTTTAATTTTTGTCCCGAGTCGTTGCGCATCTTGGAGACAAATTAAGATCCATACCTCCTCCGCAGCTCTCTGAGCACTCGGTAAATCCCTCGTACTCCCAGTCAAGCAGGTCCCCGCCGCGTCGCGGCTCCTCCTCTTCTCCATTTTCGTCCCGGTGACCGAGCTCTCCCGAGCAGGGTTTGCGATAACACGGCTGGACCGAGTCGGGTTTTTCCCCCTCGCACTCGTCGTCGGGCAGGTCGGCAACGGTCTGGGAGAAAGACAGCAACACCTGGCACTTGACCGTCCGCTGCTGGGTCCCAGCTCCGCACGTTCTGCTGCAGGGCTGCCAGGGACCAGGAACGAAGCTGCAGGAGGACAACACAGATGTAGAAAATGTAGAAAATATTTAACTCGTTTCCTTCGCAAATACCCGTGGTTCATGCTTGTGCTGCTAAGTTTTAAAAAATGTAGCCCTGTTCTTGAGTGACATCGTCTAATATCATCTTGGTTTTTCATGAGGGAGTGGAGAGGAAATCCTCAAACTCCAGTTTACAACAACTGGAGCTGATGTAGCAATACAAGTGTAAAACTGAATCCCACTTGGTCTTTAAATACATTTGGCTTTAGCAAAGTGTTGGGTTTGATTACACACTTTCGTCTGCTGGAAGATCAAACAAACAAAAAAATAAAAAATAAAAAAAAAATCAGGCTACGAACTAAGCATCTATGTTTACATAGAATAGAGAGATTTGTGCCATTTCATTTAAGCTTCATGGGATTAACCAGCAGCTGGGCTACTTCTCTTTTGTTATATGGGTCTAAAATTACAGCGCCATAATTTGTAACGACATCCACTTTTGAAAGCGGTCTAATAAGCGCAGATATACATATAAAACCCGTCTTCACTCTGGATTTACAAGAAGACTGATCTGAGAAGTCGCTCTTGGCGCTAAGTGTTCATGTCTCTTGTAATAAAGAAGATCAAACATCTTCTTTGTTAAGAGCCATGTGTTTCGACACAGACTATTTCCATAAACGTAACAGAAGCCGGCGCAATGCGATAACCCTGTCATTGATATCTATCGCAGCCATTAATCTTGTTGAAAAGGAGCCTTTTTAGTTTTAATTAGATTTCTCTCTGGAGTTGTTTTTGGAGAGAAAACAAAAGCATTGCTGTGATTGAGAAGAAAAAGAAAAAAAAAAAAGTCAAGCATTTACTGTAATGTCTACCCAAGCTGTTGTCTAATAATCTGTTGTGGTAGTAAAAGGTTTCTGTGAGTGTTTTTTGCTACCAAGATCGTCTCGGGGTTGAGCGCCGGCCAGACGAGGAAAACAGATTCCTCCTCACTAACCACAACACTTCGGTGTCGTTTTGCATAATTGTCATTTTGCCACCATGAGAATGATGTCACACCAGCGTCGAGTATGTTCTGATTGCAAGTTGGAAAACGGTGAGGTTTTGATTTGGTGTTAAACTGCTATTAGCAAAACAAGCTGTTCTACGTGTTTGAACGCAAACGGACCATGTTAGTAAGTAGACACCGAATGCTACGGCTCAGTTTGTAGTCTATGCTAGCAGACGTCCTTCCATTGGGCCATGTTGGGTAATTCAAACTCTTCTTGTCTTTAAGTGGGAATTTAGAGAATTCAAAAATAAACAAAATTAGGACGTTAAAAGAGACCACACCAGAGATCAAACTTCCTATAGGCTTCCGGTTTGATCGTTCTCCGAGAAGAGTTATTTGAACTTCTTGAATAAATCTTCACTCTACAAACTCAAACTTCTTTTGTCTTGGGGAACAATTTCATTGAGAACTGACGTGGCCCCGACTGGCATTTGGTGCTTCTTTTTACACTTTTTCATGGATATTGGTAAATCATAATGAGCTACATGCCAGGCTGTACCATTGGCAGAAGGTTTTGGGTCTTCCTGCATAGAGTTTGCATGTTCTCCTCATGCATGTGTTGCGTGGGTTATCTTACAGCCCAAAAGCATGACTGTAAGGTTCATTGGTTCCTCTAAATTGTCTTTAGATGTGAGCATGTGTGTTTCTTTCAGTCCTGTGTATCCCTGTGTTGCCATTGTAACAAATTGGACATCTGTCCATTGTCCTCCTTTCCAAAGTTATTCTAAATTGCATTTAAATGTGGTGCCTGGCACAGCTACATCTGATTCGAGCTGCTATTCCTTTTCCCACAAGAAAAGGTTTTAATTTCTGGTTTACCTCAGAATACAGATTATTCAACTATTTCAGTGTGTATTTACACAATGAAAGGAGCTTCAGCTCGCGCGCAGGACCCCTCCCCCTCCCCCCCGACCCCCATTCGACCGCAACACAAAAGCGCCACACTGTTTTATAAGATGCCTCAATAAAGAGCTCATAATAACAGTAAAGGCCGTCTCGTTACGAGTGTCCGGGGACTCGCGCTTGTTTGGACAAACGAACGAAATGAATCACTCGCAGTCGGAGCTTGGAACACGAACAACAAAGTCAACATGCGAGCTCGCAGAAATGTTTATCTTCATGGGCTGTTAAAGCACATCTGTCAGTTCAAAAACAATCCCGCATTCATTTGTGGCAGGAAACAACAGATTTTTTTTCTCCCCTCTCTTTTTTTTTTTTTTTTTTTTGTAATATCAGCCAAGGCCACACGTTAATTACATCGATTAAACATCCATCTTCAGAAATATTCTATAAACTGGTAGTAAAAATAATGTGCTTGGCCAGGGTACGGAGGACAAATCGGTTTCACTTTTCTCGTGCCAGGAGTGAGTCCAAAATAGGAATTTCCTTCTCCTCCTTCCTACATCCGTAACAAGGCCCCATGTGGTATGCAGATATTATTGTTGGATTGTGAGCGACGGTGCATTATGCAGAGTTATTTATGAGCTTTTTGACAAAAGAAATGTTTTTTTATATATATATATTGCAACAGAACAAAATCACACGCGTTGGCACTCCTCCCTCCACTCGCCACTCGATCCAGACGTGTCAACGTAAAAAATGCTCGAAACCTGTTGCTAATATAACTCATGCGCAGCATCCACGTATCGTTGCACGTTCGGGGGACAGAACATCTGGAAGATTGTGGGGTTTGCTGAGGTAATGCTGGAAGGAAGTGCAGGTTCTCAAAAACGATGTTTGTTCTCCTTCACTCTCGGTTTCCCCTCTTACCCCAAATAACCTCCAGTTACGTTCAAGACACACAGATTAGGCACCCAGGAGGTATTTGCAGTCGCGCGGGCGAAAGGTTCTGACGACTGCTCAGACACCGAGCTTGATGGAAATCGGCGCTGACACGAACACAACAGTGATACTGTGGTGGTTTCATGGCGGCACCCAGACCTGTCCACTTCAATTTGACCTCCAGGTTGGTCTGTTGCTCTAAGCTCGGAAAATGTTGTTGAAACTGTGTGTGCCTTTGAAATTACTTCTGCTTTATTTTACCCATGTGGAGAAATTTTATGTTACTAAAGTATATTTTTCTTTTAAGACGAGATCCTGCCAGTTTTTTTTCGGCTTCTGAGCAAAACTGGAACCAGTAAATTTGAGATTATAATCACACCTAAAACATTTTTTGGTCCAGTTCGGCCGACAAAACGTTTGTGAATCTAGTCGTAGATTTGGGAGTTACTTTTCACATTTTATTATCTTTTTATTTGTATTTTATGTGACTGACTGACACACAGTGGTGCATAATTGTTGAGTGGAAATTACATGTTTTTTGGGGGGTTTTTTTTTACAAATAACTCCCTGAAAAGTGTGTTGTTCATTTGTATTTATGCTCCTTTACGCATGTAGCCCCAAATAAAATCCAGTCCAGTCAAAATGCTTTCAGAAGTGATCTGATTAGCAAATAGAGCCCAGCAGAGCATCATTTAATCTCAGCTGGTTTTCCAGGGCCAAAAAGGTTTTTACACGTTTGTCCTGTGAAAACCCGCTGCTTTTTTCCCAGAGTTCACCGTCTTTAGCAATTATTTTACACTGTAAAATACAAATGTTCATTTAGAGATTCAAAGATTTCTTTGAAAACTGAAACTGTGGGAAAGGAAGGAAAGAGGTAGGACTCAAGGAAAGAAGGAAACAATAAAGTAAAGGAAAATGGAGTGAAAAAAGACAATGTATTGTCAATGCCGCCATCTTTAAATGGCTGGAAATTGGTAACAATTATAATTGTTGGCTTTACATTAATTAAAATGTGAAGCCAACACGGACAATTGATTACGTCAATTGACATGCAACTGACGTCATGTTATATCATGTTGCGGGTGTTATATCGCCACATATAACATGAAGCCAACTAGAATGTTAGCAATAAGATTCAACATGTATCTTATTAACTTTGTGTTGGTTTATTGCATAAAATCAAAACAAAAACACGCTGAAGTTTGTAGATGTGATGTGAGAAATTGTGAAATGATTCAAGGTGCATGAATACTTTTGCAAGAATCAAATTAAATTGTTCTCTAGAACTCATTCCGCGTTTGCTCATGCTTATGGTCGGTACTTACGTTGGCTCCTCGCTCGCAGTCACTTCCTCCTCCAGCTCAATGGCCTGTTTCTGCCAGACAGGCTTTGCCTCAATAGGGAGTATGTCTGGAGCAAATTGCACAGATCCGCTTAACATTGCGTGAAACCACAAAGAAAAAGTACACAAAAAAAAAAGTTGCTCAGTGTAGTGCGACATTTCCCACCTATGGATTTGTAGCACGGCACTGCAACCAGACACTCCTCCTTGATGTGGGGTTTGGTGGTTGGGTTGCAGCCTCCGGCGTGGATCCCTCTGTGATCGATGCATAAAACCACCCTGTAGCGCAGACCTTGTCCACAGGTCACTGTGCACTGGTGGTGACAGGTCACACAATTCTCTCTCAGTCCTATTTCACGCAACTTTTACAGTCATGCTCATTTTCCTTTAGAATTATTATTGTTGTTTTTTTAAATATCAGTCTGAAACTGAAGGGAAGCGAAGAGAGAATCCTTCCGAAATCTCATCAAATCTCTCATCACGAGCAAACTTTATGGATCTTCTGCCAAAACAAGCACGTTAAAGGAAGAATGTGCTGCACAAACAGCATTCCGGTTTTTACAGGATCTGACTGCCAGGGCATGTTCCCGGTGAGAAAGAAAAAAAAAAAAAAACTGGCAATCAGGAAGTTGCGTTGGACTTTTACCGTAGGGGTTCAGTTCAAGAAATAAACTTGGCCAAATTGGCCGGTGTGCGATAGCACACGGAGCAACTGGTGTTAATGATGCAGCTCTTTTATACAAAGTAAAATATTTGCATATTTGTTCCCAAGCAGTAATGAGTGTTTTTCTTACAATCAAGATGCAGCTTAAAACGAACCATCTGTTGTTCTAGAGAACTACTTACTGGCATAGCTTTTTTGTTGTTGTTGTTGTTGTTTTTTATTACTATTTATTACTATTGTATTCGTTTATGGCCACATTTACAGATGAAGTTCCCGTAGCTGTAGTAAATGGAAAGAGAATCACCTCCAGGTACTAACCAGGTCCAGAAAACATTTGACTGTGTTTGGGGGAGACATCACTGCACTGTAGAGTCAATTTAACAAAGCCCTGACACTAATTTGTCACTTTTAAAAGTTTAATGACATTTGTGTCAACTTCCCATACTCTGATACTGCTGGATGCTGCATATATTTCGAGAGAGTAATCTCTTCTGAGTAACAAGGTTCTGGTTCTGTTCTGGAGACTACTGAGGAACATCTGGAGATGATGGGGAAAAAAAAAAAAAAAAAAAAGATTCTTCATAAAATCAAGAAAATTGTGAACCCTCTTTAGGAACCAACAACAAAAAAAAGTTTTCTGAGCTGCTATAATACAGACCACTACGGGACACCCTTCCTGTCATCAGTATCGACAGCAACTCTTTGAAGAACCATGGGTAATACGAGTCACAAAAACATTTTACTTCTCTTTGGGATTAATGAATTATTTTTTAAATTTAATTTGTGAACAAAAGCACAATTAAGACCAAGAAACACACCAACTTTAACGTTTAAAGGTCCCTTTACTGTTTAGTTAATTCCTAACGAAAGTGTACTTTTAGTTTTCAGGCATAAAAAGTTGAAAGACCCAATAAAAGAAACAAACCTGGTAACACTTGAGTTGAAGGGCTGTTAATAAGACTGACGTGATGCTGTCATAAACACGACATAGCAACAGTCATGGACATGAAGGAGTCCTCATGACTCATGACTATTTATGACTGTCATAAAGTGTCATTTGGTAAATAATTACATTTTTAATGCAAAGTTGACACTTTTAATACAACTTTTAGAGCAACTCTGCATTAAAAGTGTCATTGTTTACAGAATGACACTTCATTACAACAGTTGTAAACATTTATAAAGACTTCTTCATGTTTATGACTGTTATGACATTTTTCCTCCCCATCAAATAAAGTGTTACCAGAAATGTTTATGAAAACTAAAATAAAAAATCAAGATAGGATATTTTGTTGAGTTTTCTCCCCTTTTTTTGTTAAAGCATACTACAAGGGTGTTTTTGTTTTCATTAAAAAAAAAGAACTAAGAAGAATTTATAATAACAAAGGTAAATCATCCCAAGAGGAATTTTCCTAAACATTCACAGAAAAACTCAAATGTTTTTGCGAAGATCCTGATTACAGGCTGAGAAATGAGAAGGATTTCAGCATCATAGCAAAAAATGTAAAGGAGATACCTACAGGTGACCATTCCTGAGCCACCCAGGTTGGACAGCTGAAAGAGTTGCAGGGCTGCAGGATTGCCGTCTTTGGCGAATAGAGACACTTCCACTCTTCGGTGGGGGTGATGTTACCCTGCATGTCTTCCTCCACACACGTCACAGAGCGACTCTGGATGCCGCCGCCGCAGGAGGTGGAGCAGGCCGTCCATGGGCTGCTCTCCCAGCTGGAGGAAGAAAACGTCAGATCTGACATAACGGAATAACGCGCTTCACGTCTATGTGTTCATTTTGTCTTTCTGAACTGTAAACATACCGAGGCAGGGGGTGGTAGAGATCATACGGCATAATTTCTTTGTACCCATCACTGAGAAAAAGAGACGATGAAATAAACTGGATTATGCTGTTAATATTAACCAATTAATATCATTGCTAACCAAAGATCCAGAGCCCTACCTGTCCAAACAAGGCTCCATGTTGCACTCCTGCAGTTTGGGTTTGGGTTTAACATTTTCAGGGTAATAATGGCAATACTGGTCCACAACCACCCGACCAGCTCGTAGGTCATAGCACTCTGCAGATGTCAGCTGGTAACCTGTGGGTAAAGTTGCGAATAAAGACCAAGTGAATTTAGTGAGACAATTATTAAACATTAAAAACAACTCTATTACTCTGCAAATTAATATAAAAAGAAAAGTTAAACTACAGGGATTTCAAATAAAACAAATAAATGTGAAGAAATGTCATCAAAAAATAAAAGAAATAATAATCCATGTTAATGTTTGCATTATTTTCAGAATTAAAACTAAATCAAAGGAACTTATAATAAACAGAATTATTAAAATATTGACTTTATCAAGTGTAAACATGAAACTTTTCCATATCTAAAGACATACATTATAAAAACCCTAATAAATAGTTGTCATTAAATTAAGTAAACTAATAAAAAAAAATAAAAGTACATTATATCAAAAGAATGAATATACATGAATATTTGTTTTTCTGTGTGCTGCAACGTAATTGATCAGAAATCAGCCAGGCTTGCCTCCACCACACGTGACGGAGCAAGGGAAGAAGTCAGTTTCCCTCCAGCGGTGAATGATGGGCTGATAGTAGATGTACTGGATCCCACTGTCTGCAACACCGGTAAGCTGGATCTGTAGAAGAAAAAAAAAGGAATCAATGAAATACGTCACACTCTCCATTTCTTCTCACTGTCCCTTCGAATAAAAACCAGAAAAAATAAAACAGCTTCGTTCTATTTACATTCAAGTTTCGGCAGTCAATGATTGCATTCTGAGTAGATCGGGGTTTAATTTAAAAAGCTGCTGTTCAGTATTTAAAAAAAAAAAAAAATTAAATATCACTTAAAAACATGGTTACAGAGCACCGACATGCACGGATCTGCACCTGGCATACTAATAACGCACAACACAGCGAGTGCTTCAACACATGCTGTCCGTTTTACAGCAGGGGGAAGTAGTCAGGAGATTCATTTGCATTTCATGTCGACGTGGTTCACACTACTCCAATATCTTTCAATCTAAACACATGAAACCAGAGCTGCTTTGCACCCTGCTAAACGCAGGGAGGTTCAGCCGGAGTTTGTAAATGAAAGCCTTATCTGGACCTACTGTGGAGGTTTTCATAAAAAAAGGAGTTGGAGTAAAGCTGCATAAGGACTGAGTGTTGGTTGGTTTTTTAACAGTGTGAAGTTGTCAGAGATTATTAGCTAAGAAAAGCATTTCAAATCCTTTTGACGGGTGTAGCACTTATTTTCCTTAGTTTTAAGCACAGGCTTGAGAGCTGACGGAAAAATATTTTTAGTAAATAAACGCTTGTTTACACACCCAGTGTTTCATTTTCAGTCAGACATGTGTCCAGTTCCCCTCACGTTGGATTTTTCAATGCTACGGTTATAGTTCCTACACATAAATGTCACCAAAATGTGTCATGAAGAAGAAGATTGCAAGTTTGACTGGTATACAAGAATAAATGGTTCAAAATAAAGTAAAGAAAACGGCACTTTGAAAATAAAATATGCGACACGTGCAACCATCTGTTATCATGTTGTTCAATTCTGTTGCATAAAATCCGTTGGCGGGTTTTATTAACTACGGAGAAAGAAAGAAAAAGAAACAGGAGGTGACACTATGTCAAAAACTAACTTTGTTAATGCCCTGTAGATTTTTTGAGATGCGTGATGGAAAAACAACATTATTTTATAAACTTGTGAGAACATTGCAAAAATATTCTTAATTTTCTTACATTTTGATCTGTGTTAATATTCTTTAAAAGATCAGAAAAAGTTTAGGGGAATGTTAAGTTATGAGAATCGAGCTTCACGAGTCAACTCGGTCAACTGCTTGTGATAATTCACCATATTTGTATTTTATGAGCATCTTCCACATTCTTGCCTTGACGGTGAAGTCCGCTCCGAGAGGACCAGTCATCCGGAGGATTTCTTTGTCTGAAAGCTTCTGAAAATCCAGGGTGGTGTTCTCCAAGTAGTATTGCCCCGATTGGTCCAACATCAGTTCAGTTTTTTCCCCTAGCAGAGTCTTAGCCTCCACATCTGAAGATAAAACAAATCAGACAACTAAAACAAAACCGCAGACGTCCGAGTTCAGGTGAGCCGTTATTCTGCTCAAATACTTTCGTTTGTTTTTGTCGCCAAAATGTCAGAACTTCATCATCATCAAACCCAGTAATTTCTCAGTGGGGTTTCATTATTACCGTGTCACCGTTCTTCAAACAAAACGAAGAAGGAAATAAAAAATGTGATTAAAACGTCCAGAGGTCTTAACGGACCGCTTTGATTTAGGACGGACCACACACAGAGGTTTAGCCGGAGCCAGTTGCACACAATGAGCGCAGTCTGGTTTCGCTGTTTGAAAGCCAAGAGCAGCGGCGCAGCACTGCCAGCAGGATCACGAGCAAGATCCGCAAGGAGGCCGGCGCTGCTGTGAGCTTCTGCCCCGTTCGACCCGACCTCAGCTGTGACACCAAGCCTCTAAGTCCCGCGTGAACGTTTAAAGAACGGCTGCAAACAAACAGGAGACGTATTTCAGTTCAAAAAGTGGAACTCATAATATAGAGATATAGCCACTCAAGTAATTATTCATGCTAATTTAGACGAGCACGTCTGATGAAAACTATAAACTTAGTGTCTTAGACTTTACTGCTCAATTAAGACCATTGAAGTCTGACTGAAATGCTTCTTCTTTAGCGATGACCTGTAGTTGCCTCCCCACCTTGAGGACGGGGTCACGTCATCGGTCTTCTCTGTGTCTGTACAGCCAACGCTATAAACATATTGTCATAAAAATATTATTTAATTTGTATTTTGTAATAAATTAACAAAATACTTTGTGAGAAACGTAACTTTGGGTTTTCTTTAGCCGTCATCCTTCATAATTTAAACATTTATGTCTTGAAATCATGCGTTTCAAGACAAATACTTGAAATACAATTTGGTCTACTCAAAATACTGCTTTCGATTTGGATTAAACTTCTCGAATAAATCCACTCTTCGTTGATCTTCTAATTTATTGGAATTCACTGCAATGCTGTATGGTGTACCATTTTTAATCCGTCAAAAATACTTAAAGTTGTCGTCGCAGCTACAACTTTAAATAGTTTCCAAAAACTATGCCGCACCAACACCTGCAGAAATAAACCTATAATGACTCCTTTACTGCTATTTTAACCTGGAACTTATACTCTTTATTTAAATTTTCTGTTAAAATGCTAAAAGATCCATAAAAAGTTAGATAATTTGCATTTTGTCAAACTGAAAAAAAAAAAAAAAAAAATCAAGATACTGATGTCAGGTTTAATTTAACTTCACCAAAAAGTGAAACTATGATTACCGTGTTCATTTTACATCAAATTAGTGTTACATTAACACTTTCTAGTAAAGATTTTCCAAAATATATCTCCTTTTTTCATGCCTACCAAAACCTGAAAAACAGTGAAAACCCTGTTTGTACGTTTCTATACATTTTCAGCTGAGCTCTGAAATTGGATGAGAGAATATTCGGCATGGGCGTAGGTTTGGGTAGGG